ACTTTCAGCTAATTATGTAATAATAAAAGCATTAAAATATTTTTTAAGAATTTACAATTCTTATCCTGAAAATAATCCTATGAATTAGATACTTAAATTATGTACAGATTGCGATGAGGAAAGTGAGGCACACAGAGGTTAAGATACTTATTCTAGGCCCATGACTACTCAAAGATGCCTAGGAACTTCCTCACTACTTATGCGGCTTCTCTATTGAATGAATTATATACATTATAAATGTTCATTAGTATAGTGACTTCTCCAGTTGGTGCATTTTATAGTTACTATTATTTCCTATACATAATAGAGACCTACAATCTTTACTGCATTTTCAGTTTGCACTGATACTGAGCTCTATAAATGCAAAAGAAAAAGTATCTACAGAGAAACCAAAACATGGTGTTTAAAAACATTTTTAAAAATAATGGTGGAAAATTATTGATTATTTGTCACTAGGTAGACTTATTTACTCTTTCAGTTCTTATTAATAAGTAAGGTAGCCAAACTAAAGTAAGTCTACCTTTGGATATTGATTAATAAAATTGTGGCTTTAACATTTTCAGTTTTAGAACTTGGCCTTAAACCGGCTATATGATTCTTAAGCAAAAGCATTTTAAAAGAAGCCATCTAATTTCTTACATAGCTTTAAGCTTCTTTGGCTTAGGCCACAGAAACAAACAATTTTGCAATCGTTTAATTACATAGCTCTTTAGAAATTACGATTTAAAGTGACCTTGGGAAAGTCACTAGAAAGGCTTTCATTGTAAAGCTATTTCCTAGGAACCTGCATACACACTTCAGATTTTCTTCCTTTGCTTGATTTTTGGTTGCTTGAAAAGCCATATGGATCTTCCTAAACATTATTTCCTACATATGATTATCCATTTTTTCCTCAATTGACTGCCCACATGCAGATGCCCCAGAAGCTTGCAATGACCAAATCCATAACTGTGAGGTTAGAGAAATTTTTATACATTGTTAAGAAAAGATATTCTAAATCAGAATTGTCTATTATCCAAATATTCATTACTGAAATACATGGCTCTTACTCACTAACCAGATGATTGATTCTACTGAAAACTGGGAAGATTAGCACTGCTATAAAGACAGAATCACATATATCAAAGGTTATCTCAGAATCGGTAATCTGTGCAACAGATGGAATAAACATAGGGTATGAAATTGGAAAACTATTAATTTACTTCTGCCACAAATCATTGTTTCAAAGAATTTCTTAATATTTTATCTACAGAATAGTAAGGAACAACATTGTTTGCCTTCAGTTCTGTGAAAAAGCAAACAAAAATAATACCCAAACTAAAAAGTCTGGGAATTAAAATGTCTATAAAATAGATTTACTAAATACATACTCAAAATAGCTGAAGTAGCCATACTCATAATTTTTTATGTTAAAGATTGATGAAAGGTGACAAAGCTAATTATTCAGATATTTCCCAAATCCAGATATTTCATAAACTATAGGGGAAAATCTGTATATTAATTGACAAGGTTTTCATACAGATCTTCTCCAGTTCTGCTTTCTTGAGATCTTTCAGATGCATCACAGGCTTCCAACATGTAATCACAAATCTTTAAATGTGGCCAACAAAACTAAGTATGATCTGGCCCCTGCTTATCTTGGCTATATCACCTCATGTGACTCATTGTCCTGTCATTAGACTCCTGGAAAGTATCAAGATCTTTTCCATACTAGAGCCTTAATGCACACATGCTTTTACTTTCATCTAGAATGCTCTCTCTAACTCTTTATTTGGCTAAACTTCTGTCTTAATTTATATTTCAAAGCTTAGCTTGAGTGGCACTTGCTTATAAAAGTCTCCTTTGACCTACTATTTAATTGGCTCCCTCTTAACAATCTTTTACATTTATCCATAGCACTTTCCCCAATTTATATTATAGACATTTTCTCCACCAGACTATAATCTCCTTGAGAGCAAGAACTATCTCTATTTGCTTTGTGAGTCCCTAGTGTCTGGCTCTGTGCCAGGCATACAGCAACTACTTAATACATATTTGTTGAATCATTGAAGGACTGACTTAATGTATATCCAGATAGCTCTGTATTATATAATATATACATAATTGAATCAAGTTAGCTCAGTTGGCTAGATTGTTGGTGCTTACTGTAGAGTATTCATATGCTCAAAGAAGGGCAGATAAGAACCTGTGTGCACATGTTAAATTTTAAATTTGCTGGAGCATTTGGCTCTCTGGTCCTTTTTCCCCCACTGAAATCCTGGCTCAAGCTCCATTACAGATCTGATTTCACTCTGCCTTGTATTAAAGTTAATTGACCTTACATGTGTCTTTCCTAGTAGAACTTTTGAGGACAGAGACTGCATCTGATTCATCTTTACCTCTACGGTGAATGAAATTTTAAATGGTATGAGCTAAATGTTGGTAGAAATTTCTTTTACGTATCTTATAATTCAAAAATAAAGACTTATAAGGTGCCAAGTGAAGTTAAGATTGCAAGGTATCATTAGATTTTGTGTACAATCCATTTTCATTATTCAATTTACTCTGATTCAGCACTTCTTGTTTAAGGCACTGGGAGAGGCATTAGGAACTTAAACAATGACTAAAACAGTTTCTTTTCTTGTAAATCAATAAGCTTTATACAGAGAAACAAATCCGCATCAGTGACCTCTGGATAATGACAGTACAAAAAAATATGAGTGACTCAGCATAATCCCAACAGGCCAAAACAGGCTCACACCCCTCTACAGGGATTTGACAGGGGCCTGCTTTCAGGGACACAAAGTTATTTCCAACAATTTTCTTGTTCTCCTTGTCTCAGTAGACCAAGCCCACGTGTCGACCATCTCCCATACACTGTGTACTTTCACTGGGTTATTGCCCAACTATACCTGGTCGATAAATGCTCACTACTTCTCATTTCCCTTGTCCAGGTCCCATGGCAATTTCTGCCCAACTCCAGGCTCAAGGGAGAAAACAGTTCAGACTGGAGTAAACCAGCTCAAAGAGGTCCTAGTACCAAAAATAAAGATCCCAAAACTGTGTTCCTGATAAAATTAAGTTTCGGTTATCTATAGCATCTCTGCACAGCTGGAGGTCATCCAGTGACTCAGCTAGCAGGAGGCCTATAAATGGATGGTATTACTTTGCTGAGTGCTTAAAATTAGTATTTGTCTTAGGGTTGTGCTAAATAATTACTGTTAATTGAATTATAGAAATAGCTACATATTACTGATATATAGTATATATTTTTAATAGAAATAATAGGTATGACCATTTTGTTTGGCTTTAAAGCACCTTGTGAATATGATTTTAGTAAACATGCAGGGTAGAAAGTCTTTTCTCATACCACTAGAGATTGTTGTATGACAATGCTTTACCTGTTTTATTTTTTTTCAGATTTAATTCTGTGATTTTAGTGCATTTGTATTTAACCCATTAGAAATCTCTGAGTATTTTAATCACATTCTCAAGCAATTGTTACAAAGGCTAAAACTGTATGTAGTAAATAATACTACAAATAACATGTATATATAGCTAATATTTGTTGAGCAGTCAGTTTGTGCCAGGCCTTATCCTAAATACTTTATGTGAATCAACTCATCTAATCCTCACAACATCATTAGGAACAGGTACTATTTTTATGTGCACTTTGCAGATGAGAAAATTAAGGTTAAGCAATTTGCCCAAGGTCAAACAGGTAGTGAGCTTCAGAGCTACAGTTTCATCCAGGCTTTAGAGTTCGTACTCTTAATCACCAGGCTGTACTTCTCATCATGTACCAGCTATTAGTTAATGTTGAATCCTCATAAACCCTATGGATATATGCTATCATTATGATCCTCCTTTATTAATGAGGGGATTGGTCCAATCAAGATGACTCTGCTGGTGAATGGCTGAATGAGGCTTTCAAATTCAGTCCTGTCTGATTGAGTATTTAAGATCTCAGACTCTTTTTTTTTTTTTTTTTTAAGCAGGAAATCAGGTTTATTGAGGAGAGAAAAATAGGATTATAGAGCAAGAGCTAGATATAGGTTTATAGAGCAAGAGCAAGAGAAATTCACCACAGATGACAAATGGACCCCTTGTCATAACAAAAAGCAGATCTCAGACTCTTGGAGCTAAGATCTTAATTAAATACCACCCATTACTACCTCCCAGAAGGTCATATGCTTATTTTTTAAAAATTTCATATAGCATTAGAAATTAAGTGGATTTTAAGGAAAAGAGAAATTATTTACTTAAAGAGTATAATGAGTTCATAGTCTTCTAAAATATTTAAGTACTCTTAAACTAATCAATAGATTTTTCTAAAATACTTCAAATACTATTAAGCTAATTTTAAATGTCATCATTCTAAAGAACAGAACTCAAAAGATTATTCTCAAAAATTAATATGATGATAATTCATCTCACTGTTTATGTGATTCCCTGACTAACTATAATAACCTCAAGAGACTTGTAAACATTTCAGAAAAAAAAAAATTAACTTACTTTGGTTATTGCAACTGCAAAATGTTATATAGTACTTGGGTACAACACATAAGAATATCACAAAATTTTAAACAAGTCACAACAGTGTTATAAAAAATATAGTTGTTGTATTGGTATAGATTATTTTAATCATTATTACATTACTGTTTTGCTAAATGAGAATGTTTGCCATTTATATCTGAAAAATTAGTATTACTATACTAGCCAAGTTATGATGATCCAGTAAGAATAAAATTTTACAGAAAAATGTAAATGGTGGTTGTTGTTATTGTGTATAAGGGCATTCCTACATAAATCTATCCTTTTCTTATTTGAGGTCTTATTTAGAGTATTGATTTTCATTATTCTCTCTAAAAACCACTGTTACAGAATTTCAAATCTTTTAGTAAGCCCTGAATGGCAGAGGATAAAAGAGAGTACATCGTAGATGGGTTGTGGCATAAACTTCAGCCAAATGATTTGCCACTTACGTCTGTCTTATCATGAGTCATTTACATTTTTATTACCTTTAGGGCCTTTGAACAGTTTGATTTCCACAACTGTCTCCAAAATAGGTCGTCTTCTGCGTACATATAGCCGGACGATAGACCCTGCTTCTTTGAGGGCTTCCACTGCTTTACTGTGGGAAACTTCAGACACATCGACTTCATTCACCCGCAAGATACAATCATTGACCCTGAAAGAAAGGAAGAGAGACAAGATTCAGGAGTAGCTATAGGAAGATTTCTTAGAGAATACTATTATGATTATCTAACCTTATGATGTGGAGAAGTAAAGAGTGTAAGAAATTTTAAAATGTTCAAATTTGGAGGGATACTTCAAATGTAGGAAATATAGAAAACCTTAAACTGTTCAGCCTTCTGAGCCTTCTTCCCATTGACCACACTACTGGTCAGGCCCCATCTTGAATTCCAGGCCCCATCTTGAATACTGGGACTGTATCACACACAGCATAGTAAGAAGGACATGTATTTTAAGGTCTTTTGTGATTTATGTCATTATCTTAATTGGTTTGACTAAAGGTTGCAATTTGAATGGTTCTCAGAATTTATTACTCTGGACTATATAGACATAACAAATGTAACTTTATTTATAGATTAATTTTTCTCAAATTTTAAATGTACTAGTTATAAAAGATAATATGCAATCATTTTAGAAAATCTAAAAAATATAAAAATATAGAAAGAAGGAAAAACATACATGATAATCATCTAAAATAGACCTGTTAGCTTTCTGGAAAATTATCTTCCAGTGGTTTCCCCACCCCCATTCACCTCACAGTGTTATAAATACTGAAGTTCAAATTTAACAAAGTTCGAAGAGAATCTCAGACAATCTTGTCTCTTGGTACTTTGTAAACTAAGAACTGTGGCAAGCTCTACGTCAAACTTTACTTTTTTCCATTTCCACATGGAAAGGAATGATTTGACTTTTCCACAAACTTTTCTGGTATTTTAAAGTTGTGTGGCTATGGACTTCAAATCTCTTAGTGAGAACATTAATAATGGCTAAAAGCATGAAGCCTGTGACTAGAAAGATTTCTTTCTCTCACTCTGCACATTCATTTGTGTTCCCTGTCTCAAGTCACGATGATGCTCAGAGTCAAAAGCGAGGGGCTTCACTTGCTTGACTCCTCTTTTCTGCCACTACCACGCATTCAGTTCTACCTGCAAAGTGACACTCAGTCCATCCAGGTTTCCTCATCTTAATTCTCATCACCCTGGTTGAAGTCAACATCATCTTTCACCTGGATTACATCCACAGCCTCCTATCTAGTTTCCCTGGATTCTCTCTTGTTACCTTTTAATCCATTCCCTACACAGTGGCCAGGGGAAAGTGAACATAGTTAGTTGCTTCCCCAACTTCCATTCCCCACTTCCTCCTCCAAACAACGTCGAATTTTGTTCAGGAAATCTATGCCTTCGCAAATATTTGTTGAATGAGTGAAAGAATAAGTCTAAGTTCAATCATTGGGTCCCGCATTTCCTAAGTTTGTAAACATGGCTAATTTTCTTAATTTCTCTAAGCCTCCATACTTTTTATCTGTAAATTGGATATAATAGTAATATCCATTATGAAGGTTTTGGGGGAAGATTAAATGAGTTAATGCACATATAAGCCCTTAGCACAGAACTTGATATGTAATAAACACCTAATAAATGGTTGTTCTTGATAGTGGTGCAATATTTGTTGATTTATATTTTAAAATATTGGATCTTCTCTATAACCTTGTGGAAGAAGACTTATTTTCCACATTATAGAAATGAGAATAGTTCCAAGTGCTTAAGTCCTTTGCTTAAAGCTGTCAGCAATTTGGGCAGAGATTAGATTTGATCTCAGGTCTTTCTATTTCAAAATTTGAGCTTTTTCACTATTGGGACCACATACATCTAATGTAATGAACAGTTTCATGTATGTTGTGCATATCAACTCAAAATTATAAGACTGTAATGGAAATATATTGACGGTATAGGAATAATTTTCCTGTCTTTTTTGTCCATAACTTTTCTATACCTTTTTGAGGAGATGAGTTATAGGAACTCTCGCCTCAATGAGAACACTGAGCAGGCTCAAAATCCTGCAATGGAACATTTCACTTCCCAAGATTCAGTGATGTCATTTCATTATAGCAGATGCCATGGCTTTAATAGGTTTACACATACATTTCCTCTCTGACTGCCTAAAAAAATATCACGGGAAACTACCAATTAAAATAGTTTTGAGAATGTAGGCATCACGGGTGCCAGCTGCCCTGCAGCAGCTGGTCCTTTGAGAGTGGATAATTTTGCCATCTCATGATAATGCAAAACATAATGTTTACCATCACTCTATGCTCAGAATACTAATCATATCTTAAAACACTGCATTTCACAGAAGGGAGGGGCTGACATTTAAAAAAAATTCTGGAGGCTATATCTACTTAAACACTACTAATTTTTTTCATTTTGTATACAGCAAGATACTTAATTTTCAATTGCTGGTGTCAGAAATCACAGCCCAAATCAGATGGTTGTTTCTGAATATGTGGATCAAGTAGGCAGGTTTAGGACTAGCAGTCAGGAGGCCTGGATGTGAGTCCCAGCTTTTTGTCAGCTGCAGATCATGGTCAAGTCACTTCATCTCTTTGAACTTCAGTTTCCCATGAAAAGAGAGTAAGCATGTCCAGAGATGGTGAGAAGGGAAAACAGATAGCTAAGGTGTACAGATATTTGTGTAAATTGTAACATATTATAGATCTGAAAGTTGTTGCTTATGATAAATGGGTCAAAGATGTGTTCAAGGATTTGTTGAAAAGTGAACAGGATGGAAATTTAAATTTTTAGAGGACCTACTATGTGCAATATCAGTCTAGTCACTGCACTTGTTTTCTCTCATATAAACAATTTATGATGCATTGGTCCCCATTTTATAGACAGCAGAATTTTACTGACAAGATCAAAGTGTTGGTGAGGTCAGAGATACGATTTCAACCTGGCTTTTCTTTTTCAAGAGCCTATGCTGATACAAAGGTACTCAGAGTTAGTTGTTTTAAATTAAAAAAAAAAAAATGACAGGGATAGTTTACTTCCGAATTCTCAAAATAGGGAAGAATGTCAAGCCAAACTAGGGCACCGAACTTCCCTTCCTCCCAATCGTTTGAAATAGAATTTGACTAGAGGGTCATAGCTATTTAAAATTAATTTGTTCTCTCTAACCTTTGTGAGTAAAGCCACCAATTGTATTCATTTTGAAGCACATAAATATATCATTAGCATCAAACATAGGGAATACTTTGTCATAGTAAAAAGTGCAGCCTTTATCATATTTCTTAGTCTTTGTATTAGAAAGTCATTTACGTACAGACTTCCTCCCACTTCACCAATATAATTAACTTGATGGTTTCACTTTTCAGTGGTGGTTGTTTCAGATACAAGTACACAATATTCATTGTAGCAATTTCATCTTGTGGACTAGAATTGTCCACAAGACTAAAACATTAATTTAAACCTTTTTCTAGAATTTCCTTCAGAAATTCTGGTTCATTTCATTACCAAAATAGCTTAGAAACAAGACGGGTATTTTATCATTAGCACATACTCACAAAATCACATCTAAATTTTGCACTAAACAATTAAATATTCTCTAACATGATGTAGCATTACTGAAAGGTCAAATAATACTTAACAAATTATTTGTTCCACTTTGACAATATAATTTAAAATAACATGTAATATCTATTCTCTGTCATAGGTATTAAAATATGTTCTTCTGTTAAAATAAGATTTGTGATTTTATATACTTTATGTTAATTCATTAAAAATGATCACCAAATCATAATAAGTGTCAAAAATTTAAAATTTTCTGTTCATTATGCTTAAAAAATACTGGAAGGAAATATAACAGTTTTAGCTCTGGTTTTTTGTGAGAGTAGAGATTATGGGTGTTTTAAAAGGCATATTTCTACTTTTATGTTTCTTCCAAACATTCTATAATGAACATATATCACAACAGAGAACCTAAGAACATGGGCCTGGAAGGCTTGACCACAGCCAGATACAACTGGGATCTTGTCTCAGCTCTAAAACTTGGGGGCTGTGTGACTTTAGGCAAGTCACTTGACATCCCAAAGCCTCAGTTTCTCGTCTGAAAATAGGAATAAGAAGATTGCTGGATGGATTAAATGAGATAATGCAATGAAATACTTAGCACAATGCCTGAAAAAGAGTAAGCATCAATAAATGTTAGCTATTATTGTTACGAAAAAGAAGAATCATTTGCATAAGATAGTATATGAAGAGACTATGAGGAGGAAAAATGATACCAAAGGGAGGAAAAGAAAGAAAGAGCCACAGTCAAGATGCTAAAAGGAGTTTTAAAATTTTGTATAAGAAAGGGAAGAAGAGATGAGATGAATGGGATTTTCAGGAAGAAAAATATAAAAACAGGGCTTTTAATAAGCCTTGTTTTATGGAGCGTAATATAATTTCTTTCCCTTCCCTTGCCCCCAAGGAAACTTTCAGTTGTTCTGATACAAACTTGACCTTCACGGAAGCTTTGGTGCAAGCTTCCAAACATCAGCCCACTTGGAAGAATTCCCACCAACTTATGCCTACTCAGTCCTTACCCCACTCCACACCATCTCAACCACACACAACCATGTTCAGACCTTTGCAAGGTTTGGATTCAAAAGTAGGTTTTAGGTCACAGGATCTGAAACTTCACTTTGCAGCAGCTATTAGTTATTGAGGAATGTTCTCTAACTGATTTTCCCTTTATTCTCTCTCTCATAGTATTCTTGTTGTTCAAATAGATGAATTAATTACAGACCAAAAAGGGCTATATCATGGAGAAGCCTGATCAATATTTAATGTGCTGCATGAAAAGCAATAATGCATGATCAAATTAAGAAAAACACACAAGCTTGCAAATTACTCTGCATGCACTTCAAGAGAACAATCAATTACTTAAAACAACTCGGGATCTGTTTAAAAGGAATAATTCTACAAATTTTGTGTTAATATTGATGAAACCAGAGAAGCTCTGGAAGTTAAGGTATCAAAAAGGTCTTATTTTTCTTTTATCTTGGAGTCAGTATAGATAGGTGAAGAACAAATAATAGAAGCCAAAACTATATTTAAGAAAATACAGGTACTTTATGCTTACAAACATAGAGAAGGAAAAAAGGATACAACACAC